CTGAAATATTTGTGTATGCTAATGATTTTAAAGGAGTGCATTTGCGAGGGGGAAAAGTAGCTCGTGGTGGCATCAGATGGTCTGATAGAGGTGAAGATTATCGAGTAGAAGTATTGGGGTTAATGAAGGCTCAAATGACCAAAAATTCAGTTATTGTACCCGTTGGGTCAAAAGGTGGATTTTTTGTTAATTTTACTAATGATGATATGACTCGTCAAGAGTATATGGCAAAGGTAGTAGAGTGTTATAAAAATTTCTTGCGAGGATTACTTGATATCACTGATAATATTATTGATGGACATGTTATCCAACCTAAAAATACTATTATCTATGATCAGGAAGATCCATATCTAGTAGTCGCGGCTGATAAGGGCACAGCAAGCTTCTCAGATTATGCTAATAGTGTATCAGAGGAATATAATTTCTGGTTAGGAGACGCTTTTGCGTCGGGAGGATCATCTGGTTATGATCATAAAAAGATGGCTATTACTTCAAAAGGAGCTTGGATTTCTGTAACAAATCATTTTTGCACTATGGGAATTGACGTTGAAAAAGATTCTATTACAGTAGTTGGTATTGGAGACATGTCTGGAGATGTTTTCGGCAATGGCATGCTTAGATCCAATACTATAAAACTTGTTGCCGCTTTTAACCATAAACATATATTTATTGACCCTAAGCCTGATCCGATGATCAGCTTTAACGAACGTATGCGGTTATTCAAACTATCTACATCAAACTGGTCTGACTATAATCCAGAGCTGATCTCTCAGGGTGGTGGAATTTTCCAACGTAGTAATAAATCTATTGGCTTATCACCAGAAACCAAATCATTACTCAGAATAACTGTTGATGAGTTATCTCCGGACCATTTGATTAAAGCAATTTTACAGGCAGAGGTTGATCTGCTATGGAATGGTGGTATAGGAACTTATATAAAAGCCGTAAGCGAGAGCCATTTAGAAATAGGCGATAAAGCCAATGATACTCTTAGAATCAATGGTAAAGATGTTAAGGCAAAAGTAATAGGAGAAGGTGGTAACATTGGCGTATCACAATTAGGTAGAATAGAATATGCTAAAATGGGCGGCAGAATAAATACTGATTTCATTGATAATTCCGCGGGGGTTGATTGTTCAGATCATGAGGTAAATATTAAAATTGCTCTTAATCAGGCTATATCCAATAAAAAAATTACTTTAGAAGAGCGCAATAATCTTCTGTTAGATATGACTAAACAGGTAGAAGAATTAGTGTTGACTGATAATTATAAACAAAATCAGGCGCTGGATATAATGCAGTTTTCTCCTATTAACCCTATTGGTACATTTAGTCAATTTATTGATAATTTAGAAGAAGAAAACATCCTTGATCGAACAATTGAATTTTTACCAACTCAAGAGGAATTTAATAGAAGAGTGATGAATAAGGAAACTATAGCGCGCCCAGAACTTTGTGTTATACTTTCTTACAGTAAACGTTCAGTGTATCATGACTTGATAAATGCGACATTTTCACATGATCAATATTTCG